TAACACAGATCCGCAGCAAAATTGGATTTCAGATGTTTTAATGGCCATGAGTTCTAAGTTCTTCTGAATCTGAGTCAAATTTAAAGTCTTCTAACTGGTGTTTGGCACGTCCCTTACATCCTTCTCATCAGGTTATATCTTGCTGCACCTGAAATGAGACTCCTGGCTTGGTGGATATGTAATTTAAAGGAAAGCTTCTCTTTCTCTCACATCCCTGGACAAAAACTCATAAACAAGTTTTGTTTATGGATTCTGGAATTAGCAGCACACCACTGGCACATCTGTCCGTGAACAGAGGCAGGGGTTTTGTGATTCTTACTTCCTTCTCAGGTTAAATACTGAAGGTACTGTAGTGCTTGCTGTAGTCTCCTTGCAGGGTTCCTCTTTGGGAGTTGGAATCCATGATCCTTATGGATCCTTCCATCTTGAGATATGATTCTTTGGTATCAGTGTACCTGAGATACAGAATTCCTGCCTTCACACTCCTCTGTAGTTTATAACATTAACCATTTAAAAATAATTATCACTTTACTCATTTGCAACAAGCCCTTGAGTCTTTGTTTCCCTGCATTTACTTGGGCCCTGTAAATACTCTTTGCAGCTAAGTCACTAAAGACTTGCTTTCACCAGGGCTTCCACTATTTATACATCTATTTGTTTCACTATTTTATTGTCATGCTTCTTTTTTTTTATGCAAAGTTTGTTTTGCATTTTCTCTACAGCATAAGGAGGCTTTAAGTAGAGGAACACACTTTTTTGTTTACTGGAATGCCTGCCTGTCATTTTAGGGTGATGTAAAACTGTGCCTAGAAATCAGAGCTCATATGTTAATATCCTCTGCACTTCCTAATATTTAAATTAATGTGGAACACAGTCCTAAGTGGCAGACTGTTTGGGAGAGTCACACAGCAGCAAGCAGTGGAGGAAAACACTTGGCCTGCTCCCTGAGTCATATAATAGTACTTGTCTTTTTTAAATATTAGTACTTTCAAACATTCTAATTTATACTTTCTGCTTTCTGGGTGGTCCCTCTTCTGCTGTGGTCCCAGTTACACCCAGGACTTTGGATCCATCCACCTGTCCTTTTTTTCCTTCAAGTCATGGATAGAGCTGACTCCGTCTGGAAACTTTGCATTGAAAATAAATAAGGAACAAGGTTTCCTAAGAACTTCAGCCATGACCTTTAGCTCTCCTAAGTCCACTCTAGGTCTCCCTTGGTCCTAACCGAAGTGCCTTAGGTGTGTGCCAGAGGAGAGCTGGAGTGTCTGCCCTGCAACCTTTCAAAAACTCCATCTGAAAAATTAGTTTCTCTTCCTTACCAAAATCCAAGCATTTATTTTGACTCATTTTAAAATTGAATCCTCCTGTTTTTCTGGCTCTGAAGGCAGTACTGCCTCATGAACATCTTACTGAAAACACTACTCCCACTGACTGCTCCACATCCTTCATATCATTTCATAGTTGACAGGCTCTGGCTTAGTAGTACATCTACCCACGAGCACAAAAATAAGCATAGCTCATTTTTTTGGAGGTACACTCACTCTTAAACACCCTGATGATCTAGACCTGTATTAGTCGTACCAACTTCTGCCTCAAAAGGCTTTTGTTGTTTTCTGACAGCTGCAGAAAACTCCAGTTTGTTCTCCATCAGCTGCTTCTGCCTCCAGCCCTACCTGTTTTGATATGGGACCACTGTTTAGCTGTAGTTAAATGCAAATCTGGTTTTTTGGTGGTGGTGACCCTGATCTGTTCCAAAATTATTTGCCTTTTTTTTTCATTAGGGGTCCAGATTTAATAGGCAACGTGAGCTTTTGTGTAAGAGGGCCTTCAGAGGAGCTGAAATACTGGCATCAGTCTCTCACTTTCTGAGCAATATTGATGCAATTTTTGATATAAAAGATCAAATTTACTTTGGTAGAAGATGACCTAGATGTTATTAATTACTATAGTAGCAGTTGAAATGATTACCTGAAAATAGATTTATTGGGAAGCATATTTTATATACCATCTATGGAAAAGTAGGATAGCATGTCAAAATACCCAAGGATAATTATTAAAGGATAATAAAACATATCTTTCTATTAGCTGCTTTTCGAAATCATTGAGTGTGATATGTTATTATAATAACAACTCTGGTGATTTAGACTTCTTAATATTGTCTCTTGGGAACATTCCAAAACTTTAATCTCATTATTCTTGTGAGTCTTGGGAGATAAGGAAGAGAAGAAACCTTGTCAGATTCCCTGCTGACTTAATGAATATCAAACAAAGATATGTAGCCCATCTTCAGTTTCAGGTTGTATTAAACACAGGATTTCTCTGTAAACTGACTGTGTGTGTAAAACTGTCTCCACAAAATGAAAGACTGTCTCACTAGGTTTTTCCATTTTTAAGTTCAGAACTTTTAATATATATTTTTTTTCTTGGCAACCAAAAAGGTCAAACCGTTTTATTATGAACTCAGTGTTAGAGAAGGTTTTAAAATAAGGGTAGTACAGTCAAGAGCTTTTCTATTTAGGGCACATCAGATAATAGTGTCCTGATAGTAGGGATTAGTTTACATCTGGTTTTATAGTAGGTGGTAGTGTCCTTGGTGGCTTTGCTACCTTATGAGGCAACTTCATTAGTGTAACTTCATTTTTCGCAATTTAGCTGCATTCTTTACAACCTGTTTTATGATTGTCTTTGCATCATCTTCAGCAGCAGGAAGAGTTGATCTCCCAGCCTATCTGAGCACGTCTAACAAAGCTGCTGTTACTTCCCCCCAGGTCAAGGAGATCGTGGCTCAGCACACTAAAGAGTGGTCCGAGATGATCAACACGCACAGCGCCGAAGAGCAAGAGATCCGTGACCTGCACTTGAACCAACAGTGTGAACTACTGAAGAAACTGCTGATTAATGCTCATGAACAACAAACCCAGCAGCTGAAGTTTTCCCATGACAGGTGAGCAGGGCAGTGCTACCTGATGATGTGGTTTGTGTCTGCTTTGGGTTATGGTTTACTTTTAGTGTTGGCGGCTCTGTACTGCTGTCAGGGATACTGGGCTGAATGCATGGGAGAAGTAAAAGAAGTGATCAGACAAGGTTTAGGGAGGTGAAGGAATGTGCTTCTTAGCTGGTTTCGATTATCTGAACTTCATTAAAGGCAGCAGATGCAATGGGAGTTTGCATCGACTTTCCCCTGGAACTCAAATTCAGAGGCTGGAAAATGAGAAGTATCAAATAAGGAAATATCCTTTGGAGTTGCTGTCAGTTATGGACTCGTGTTTATAGCACTGGTGATTATATGAAAGATCCATGGAAAGTGAGATCATAAAAACAAGGGGCTGCAGGATAAACTACATTAGGCTGATGTCTTATCTTCATACAATATCACTGGGAATACAGAAGATACTGCGTGACACTGCTGCTTTTGTAATTAACCATCTTGCCCACTTGAAATGAAATAAAATTAAATATACATCATATTCACATTGCTAAAAATGGCAGTAAGCAGAGAATCACTTTTCTGTGCTATGATCTATTATCCAAAGCAGCCTAAAAGCATAGGATCATACACACATATATACACATATGTATATAGATTTCTATGTAATTGGCTTCAACATCTTTCACATGAAAAGCAGGGGGGGAAATGAATAAAGAAATCACATTTGAAGAAGGAATTGAAATTATTTTTTCAACTCCTGAGTGAAAAAACAGCTTATTTTTGCATCAGAGAGAACACAGGCTGGGACCTGCAAGCTTTCCATCCAACAGAGAATTTTCCCAGCAAAAAGCTGGTAGTGAGCTCATCTTTATGTTAATCTCTGTGTTAACCCATCTATTCAAGGGTCCTGCAAAACATTCCCAGTCAAATATGAAGTCCAAAACTTGTTAAATTATAATACAAATTGATAATTCAAAAGTTATTAGCCAGAGGAAGGTGTAGTCCTTGGTGCTGTGTCTCCAAATCATACATAGCCCAAGAAATCACATCACCTTCTTCGGGGTTTTTTTGAGTCTTTTTTTCTATCCTATTTGCTATTCACCACAATGCTTAAAAGATAATTTACTAATATATCCCCTGTGGAAGTAAGAGATTTTTGTTTTCTTTTCCATACCTATTTCCATATTCTTTTAACTTTGCTAGAAGCTGTCATTCCAGGCAGCTATTATATATACACTAAGGCAAAGTTTAAATTTGTTAAAGCTTTTTTTCTCCTAATTTTAGTCTTAGAGTTTAGAATTTCTGTATCTCTATGTTGTTTAAGCAGCCCACTGTCATTTCTTGTACATGATTCTTATATTCTTAGCAGTGGATCTTGTTTTCTTGTAAGAAATCATTTGTGTTCAGTCCATGTATTGCTCTATTTTCAGAGCTACTAAGAACTAGATCTGAAAATCCACATCCTGATAAATTCTTCCTTCAATATTCTTCCTGCTTTATTCATTGCAATTTAGTGTGTTTGGGAATTTATGTGTTAAGTCCTAAATGTGCAGACTGGGGAATTTCCCGTTTAAAACAAATTTAAGACTGTGTCTGAATCTATGAATATTTCAGAAGACTTCACACTAAATCATTGGTAGACTTTTTAATGCAATATATTGTGTGTAGGAAGACATATGCATTTATCTGTAGAGGTGTATGTAACAGCCAAGAGACAGCTCTGGTATCCACAGGAAAAAAAAGGATCTCTGAGGGTGATGCAGGAGGCGGACCGTGCTCTCAGCATGATGTTCTCACTGCTTCCCTCTCTGTGAGCCGGGGTAATGAGGTGGATATCACAGCACAGGGCACAGGGAGGAGGGATCAATAATCTAAAATGATGTAGTTATCTGCTGTAGGGTAGGATACCTTCCTTCCAAGTGCAGTACAAAAAGCAATTACAGTTTGTGCTTTGAGCTCATTTGAAAACAAAGCAGAAGGCAGCAGACACCACTAAAAACCTGAAGCTTATTGAACTCTGGGGATGCTGTGCCCCCCACCTCCTCAGACTGTTACCTTTACTCACCTGGATGTGGTGATCCTGCAGCATTTCAGAAATTGGGGACATGGAGCTGTTATTCACAAGCATTATGTGCTCCACATAAAATGACATGAGAGAGAAAAATTATGTGGTGGCACTTTTTTAATAGAAGAAGAGATTTCTAGTTATTCAAACAATACTGGTGACATAACATGTTAATGCACATCAAAATACATATAAAATATATAAATACCAAGGATGTACACATATATATAAATACATATATATATACACCTAAAGTGTCCCTTTAAAAGACGTTTGTATAAGTTTCAGAGTTGCAGTCAGTGTGACACAGTGGGAAGTCAGCAGTTAAATCTTGCCATGCCACATTTTTTTCAGAATCCTTTCTTTTTTTCTTTACCATCCTGGCTTATCTACTTCTTCCAGTTACCTCTGGCTACAGGCATCACCACTGCCCATGAGAGGGAGGGTGTTTTTACTGCTGAACTGGAGACTCAACTTGAAGCCCCAGTCCAGGAGGTTGAGCTGACACTGGAACTTTGGCCACTGCAACTTCTTATTTACTTTGAGAAGCACTATTTTAGAATCCAGCAGTGCTTAATTTGTCTACGTCTACAAGTGCTTCTAGATTATTTTAAAAAGAAGATAAGATTTTTCATTTCTTCTGTTAGTAATATCTTTTATTTCTTGCAAGTGAAAACCCAACAGCCCCAGAAAAGACCCCATCAGCAGTGCAGCTCAGAGCTAGATTATACCTGCAGAATAAACAGTTGTGTTGGCTCTTTCAACCATCTCCATGACCAAACCCTCATTTTGCAATCAGCAGTGATGCACAGTAGTCCTCTAATCCTCTTAACTTCTTTCACTCTAAAATTATATCTGATGCAAACAGGCTAAATCAATTTGAACACCTACACTAACTTTTTTCATGTCCTCGAGCACAGTAATAAAAATGAATTATTTCAGTACTCCTCTTAAGACAGTGTGCTTGAAAATTACTTCAAATTCTGTATAGAAAATAAAAGCTATTATTTGGAGAAGGGGCTGTTGGAATGAAATGTGCTCTCAACACAACATTTTTTAGAACCCAGTCTAATTTTTGCTGTCATACCACTGCTTATAAACCTGTATCCAGGAAATGTTTCACCTTATGAACTTTTGGAGATTAAAAAAAAAAAAGCACCAAACTTCTTTAATAAAAATTTTAAGCTGTCAGAAATATTAGTCAAAGCTTCCTCATGCTACTTAATGATTAATGTCTTTTAGAGATGAAAGCAAGCTAAAAAAGATTCAGTGACAATATTGCATTAAATTAAGCACTCTGTTCTGTGCCACATTCCTCCTTTTCATGCAAAATATTTAGAATTTTGGATTAATTAGTACAATAATTGTTTAGCTCTCTACTTAAGATCATGTCCAAAAAAAGAGACTGAGGTCCTACCTGGGCTTCCAGTGTGTCAAGATCTGGAACATGGAAAATTTTCCAGCTCCCAAGCCAAACCACACCACTCAGGACGTTACCCCTGGATTGCCATCCTCCTGTTACAGCTCTCTCATTCCACAGGAAAGGCAAAGGTTCACTGAGCCAGAAGGAGAAACCACACACAAATCTGACCATGGGCTAAACCACTCTTTTCAGGCCCAAAGGGCTCTTTTCACTCCTAAAGTTAGAAGTCTTAAAAGGAAGTCTGTCAGCTCATACCACAACTAGCAAATATTATTACTGTTGATATTGCTGTTATGTTCTGAGTGCAGGATTTGTAAATTTTTTGACACAGTTCTAGAAGTCAAATTGCTTTTTTTAAGTGGCTGATAGTAGCTCATACTAAGACAACTCGTATACTAGGGAGAAAAGAGAGTATTTTATACCCTTTTACAGCATTCGAAGTGTAAAAATGCTTTAAAGTGATCTTTCAGATTTTATTCTCTGGAACAAATGGAGGTTTCTGGATGCTTGCTCAAACTGTGTAAAGTCTACCCAAAGGAAGGCGGTTTTCATGTGGTTTGTTCTTTCCTCTTCCTTAATTCCTCAAGGGCAAAATTAACCACAGTGTAGAGGAAACCAACCTCCACAACAATTGCATCTTGGGCATTACTGACTGTCTTTGGTTTCCCCCAGGGAAAGCAAGGAGATGCGTGCCAACCAGGCCAAAATATCTATGGAGAACAGCAAAGCCATAAGCCAAGACAAATCCATCAAAAATAAAGCTGAAAGAGAGAGGTAAGTATCAGATCTCCCTTCCTGAGGAGAGAATGCTGTCAAATGCTGACAGGGGAACTCATGGATTAATTCTATTAAAACCACACTTTTATGCATGGAAACAAGGTCTAATGATTATGCTGAATATATTTTTAGATGACTGCTTTAGAAAAAATAATGATTTTTCTCGTATTTATCCTTTTAATAAATGTAATGCCTTGATCATCTGTGACTGACTAGAGCAGGTCTAATCACAATTACATTGAAATACATCTGTGAGGGGTTTAATGATTGTACTTCAAGTGCATTATCCTCTTTTGCTTTTTAAGTGAAATGAGGGCCTTACTAAAAAGGGAGTGAAAGCAGAGCCTACATGATGTTGTCTCATAAGCCTTCAGGGTTTCCCCTTCACTTTGGGCTTGCCATCTGGCTCAGTCTTTCCTCTTTTACATTCCCTCCTTGGCACTGGGCTATTTTGGTCAATCAGCTTGAACCTGTTCGTGCTGAACTGAGTCCCTGGAGTGTTGCACACTCCCAGCTCATCAGGAGGATGAGTTGTCAGAGCCCGTGGTAACTGTGTGCTTTGTTAATGTCAGACCTCACTAATGACTCCGAGATAAAGCTGTTCCCAGATCTGAAAGCAGGCGAAATGCAGTTCTGGTTTTCAGGCTTTGTCATTAGGCTGATTCACCTCTTTGAACTATTTTTGTCCTCTTTCATGACAGAAATCTTAGGAAGAGACACTTTGCATTTAGGTATTTTATGTAAATATTAACTATATACTTATCTTTTTGCTTAAATAACAGCTTTAAGAATAACAGCATCGATAAGCTGTAATTTTACATATGATCATCAGATGATTTTTCCCACTGTTAAGAGATGCGGCACTTTTTATATACCAAAACAAATTGAAGGCAGAGTGCAGCAAGGGATACACAAATGAATTAAACTTCCCTTAAAGTTTTGTCTACCACTCTTGAGTGAGGGGAAAAGCAAACTTCATTCACAACAGCCAAGTTTTCAGTCATGCTGTTAATGTAAGTGTAAAGGTGTGTAGCCCTAGGAGTGTACAATTTGCCACTAGTCCCACGTGGTACAGATAATCCAAACCCAAAATATACCTTAAGAGTTTAGGATTCTACTCTGTTGTAGCTTTTGGGTTTGTTTTTTTCCAATGAGTCTTCATGGACAACGTTTGCTTTTTTTTTTAGGCGAGTCAGAGAACTGAACAGCAGCAACACAAAAAAGTTCCTGGAAGAGAGAAAAAGGGTAACTATAACCTTGACCAAGTCACTGGGCACTATTTCTGGATATTCTTTTTCACTTCTCTGTGTTGGGAATCCAGCTCTAGTAGATTTTGTCTTTGCTTTGTTCCACATAGTGTGTAGCATGGAAGACCTAACATCTGTGTAAGATGAATCTATTTCAAATTAACAGAATTACTATTCATTCTTGTGTTTGCTAATTCTATGTATTATATGCAATATGTGTAATATATCTCTATTAATGTATTAATAGCTTTTCTTAAGCTTGGGTGATATAATAGGCCTCCTGTGATGTTTTGTGCCATCTAAATGGGGGGTGACAGTATATATGTGTATATGTTTCAAGTAAGTTTTTATTTTACTTGTTAATAACGTGTTACATTCCCCACCCAATTATTTTCTCTCCATTACAGCTTGCAATGAAGCAGTCAAAGGAAATGGATCAGTTGAAAAAAGTTCAACTTGAGCATTTGGAAGTCTTGGAGAAGCAGAATGAGCAGGTATCTTCTTTTAAAGGCTTAAAAGAAAAGCAAGGTAGTGAAAACAGTAACCAGAGTCAGGCTGAGTAAGAATGCTCCTAAATGTAAGTCTTCACCAAAATGGGGACAATGACCTTGTTCACGGTCACTCACCTACTTGGGGAGTCCAAGTGAAGAGGTGAGGTGATGTAAATATTGATACAGCACCAGATTTGTTTCAGATAAGCACGTGGCAGCTGAACTGCTCAGCCAGAGTCTGTCCTTGCAGCTGTTCAGCCACATTGATACTCGTTAGCGAGACGTGACAGTCGTACAAGACCCGGCATATCCACTGTAATTACTCCCAAAAAAAGTACCTCAAGCAAATCGGTTTCCTTCGTTTTGGAACTTAACGTTTCTAGTGCTGACTGGAAAATTCGAGGTGAAACGTGCACAGAGCATCTCTGAACTCTTAAGAGACAGTGAGTTTGGACTGAATTCTAGAGATGTATAGTAGCATGGGGAGTTTTATCTGTACTAGTACACCCTTTCCTAATTAAAATACCATATTATTTTCTGCTAGTTTATAAGCTCCCCCCTTTTTTTTTTTTAATTGAAAAACTACTTGGCAAGGAAAGGAAAATCCTAATCTTATTTCTGGTGGAAGCAACACTATGTTCTGAGCAGTTCCCTTGCTGAAAGGTTGAGCCAGAAGAGCTGTAATAAGTGCATGGACTTGCAGTACTGCACTTACAAATGTAAACTGCAAGGGGAATATACCCAGCAGTTCAGTGAGGTGAGAGAGAAGGGGAGCATTTAATACCCATTACTTTCAAGGGTTATGTACTTACTACTTTGTTTATTAAATGTTCAGAACTTGAACTCTCTGGAAAACATAACATGAATTAAAGCCATCTTGCAGGGAAAGAGTACATGCAAATCAAGTATTTCCACTGCCAGGAGAGAGTCCTACAGCCCCAAAAGCTGCAGCCTGGGTAACTTCTGGGGGGGTCACAGCATGTAGGATCTCAGGTGGCTACTGCTAGCAAGCCCCAGCCACCAGGGCTCTGTCTTCTGATCACCCCACCTCCCTTCAGAACGACAACCACACGTTCTGTTCCCTCACAGGAACATTCTGTAGAGGCCATCTGAAACATCCAGTGTGAATGGATCTGTCAGTCAGTCTGCTCTTGGGCAATATCAAAAGGCAGGACCCAGGGGAGCCAGGGCCTGGGGGAGGACACTGGGATACAGCAGATCTGTAGCATCACTGTAGAGAGCATGACAGTTGATAAAAAAATGGTGGGCTTGATCCAGACGTGGGTGTAATCAGTTATTTCTTTCCATTGGCTTCAGAGAGCTTTGGATACATTTTTTAAAAGCATAAGGACAAGAGAGAATGATTCTAGTTGTGCCTTTAACCATAATGTGATAACCACGTTGTATATAAGGGAGGGAGGCAGGTGCGAATAGGTGTGAATCATTAAAGGAGTCACCTCTTTGAGCAATTAGATACTTCCCTCACCTGGGGTTACAGCTTCTGCTGCTGAGTGATGGTCCAGCCTACGTGGGCTTGCTCATACGCCATTTCGGGGCAGGGACGGCGTCAGCTTAAATCATCAGTGATTAAATGGAGTAAACTCATCCACAGGCTGGTTATCACTTCTGTGTGGGCATGTGGTGGCCTCTACCACAGGGGGAGTCCTCAATGGCTTTTTAACTCACTCTGATTTGACCCATCAGAATATATATTTTTGCACGTGCTGTTTTGACCGTTTCCTTTTAGCCCCCAAAAGTGCATCAGTGCAAAACCCCAGCTGGTTCTGGTTTCATTGTGATACACATTGATGTGTAAAAGCTAGTTGGATCCAGATAAAGGTGGTATTTATTTAATGATCATTTCAAAGCTTTTTTTTTTTTTCCCCCTGATCAAAACAAGGCAAGAAAATTTTCATACAAATATACAATGTAGAAAAATAGAATTATGGGTGGAAACAGCCTTCAATATAAACTGTTGTGAATTTAAATTTGTTTTGTTTTGTGTATGTTTTTCTTGCATTAATTTCTCAATCTCACTTCAGTTTTCATTCATTTAATTTGCTTCTTGTTGTATTACTCAATTTTGACATTATTATTTTTGTACAAACAGCTTTTGAAATCCTGTCATGCAGTCTCTCAAACACAAGGTAGGATGGACGTATAATAAGCAAACTATTATTTCAGTGTGCTTTCCTTCTAAATTAAATCATTATCATTGGAGCCCTCCTTGTAAATGCAACCATTGGGAAGTGCCATTGACATAGTGGACACAATGTTAATCTTGTTTGCACACAGATATTTGAGCCTGACACAATATTAACAGTATTTTGTGCTTTAGCATCTCAAATTCAGATGCATATGAACAGGGATGTGCAGAGGAAATATTCAGAGATTAACTTGTACATTAGCTGCTGTTACTGAAAGATCTGCTTAGAGTTCTGAACTGTGTGAGAGTGTCTGTTGATCTAAGAAAACTATTTTAGTGTTAACATACATATGATTACCTGCTAATGCTGATAGTCAGACAAAGGGTACCCACATATATTAGCATAGTAATAAAAATAAGTAATTCCACGCTAAGAATAGCAAAACATAGAATGGATGGCTAGAAATAGCTT